ATATATAATTAAGCCAAGTGTAGTGGTATAGGACTGTAGTTCTGGACACTCAGGAAGTTGAGGAGAGAGGACCTCTTAAGCCCAGGATTTCACATCGGCCTGGGAAACAGTGAGACCCAAATAAAAAAACCAAAAAAATCCCTTAAAGTACATTTACTAAAAAATTGCATTTCCAGTATTACAAAATCAAGCTAAGTAAATATTCCTAAAACTGCTATTCCTTTGTTGTTTACTACTTATAAAAGCACAATGTAAATATTTATGAAATTGATATTTTTAGTTTTCTCTGTCAAATACCATTATGAGCATTTCATAGTGAATGAAGCTGTGTTTTATCCCCCAACCCCTTTTAAAGGGGTTACTTTTTCAGCTCTGGTTACTAAGTTACAGAGAACTCTAAAAGTAACTTCTCTTCTGGTTCTGTTTTCTATTTTGTAGAATGAAAGACCTGGATTAAAACAATAACCTTTTCTTTCTCTACAATCCTTTGAAAGCCTGTTGCAAGCTACAAGTGTCCTCTCCATAAAAATGCACTTATACATACTTGCAAAAGACAGGAATCAATCTAAATGTCCACCAATAGATGGTTAGGTAAACTATATTAATCAGTGAAATTCCACACAACACAAGATGAAGGCATAGGCATTTTCTATGTACTAATAAGGAAAGATTTCACAATGTGTTAAGCAAAAGCAAATTACCGAAAAATGTGTATAATGTATCACCTTCTGCATAAAATATTAGTAGAGAGACCAGAGAAATACTCTTATATTTTGATCATAACCTCAGAATCTGAAGCAAATTTATAGAGCAAGAATCAGAATTGTTTTCAGTTTGTTATGTTTCTTGTCTTTTGAGACAGGGTCTCACTAGGCAGTTCAGCTCTCTTTGCAGCCCTGGCTTGTCTCAAATTCCCCATGATCCTCCTGCCTCAGCCTCCTGAGTCTTGGGATTACAGGCCTTGACCTCAGTATTTCCATCGCTAATCTGTCTGGGCCTAAATTTCATCTGTATAATGGAAATAAACGCACATAACTATCTCTTAGGATTCTGTGATGCTTAAAAGAAGTAACACTGAAGCCAGGCATGGTGGTGCACATCTGTAATCACAGAACTCTGGGAGCCTGAAGCAGAGGGATGACAAGCTTGAGCCCAGCCTGAAAAATTTACCAAGACCTTGTGTCAAAAAGGGCTGAGATGACACAGGAATGCAAATATGGAAATATGTACAAATAAAAAATTACTAAAGGGGGACTGGATTTGTTGCTGAGAGGAAAGCTCTGGGTTCAATCCCCAGTACAGAAAAACAAAAGAAATCAAAGCCCTTTTCTCTCAAAAATGAGTAACAAGGCTCATAGAAAAAAACAGGTCCCTGCACCCCTAGAAATAAAGGAAGACATCCTAGAACAGTTGTCTCTGATGGCTTGAATCAAAGCAGACTGCATTCTGGAACTTGTAGTTCCTAGGGAGTACATTTTTAGATACAAGCAATGCTTCCTTTCCCCACTGAAAATAATATGTGACAGCATTCCTAACACAAAAGAAGCAAATATCTGGACTTCTCTGATTTCTGTTTCTCGACAATCTAAGTAAGTATTTTTTATTTTTATTTTTTAATTAAACAGACCTGTAGATGTGTTGACTAGCTGCATCACAGTCCTAAACTGTAACCAGTCTAGGTCTAGTTTTTGAACAGGTCACTTCATATCTCAAAGATCAGTATCATGGAGTGGCAGGCTTCTCATGAAGATAAAGGCAAAGAAATCCAGGCAAGAATCCTACCCAAAATTGCCAGGATGACAGTAGCAAAACCACACAGCTCAAAGTTAGAACAGGCACCCACCAACCAATCTTCTTTCCCAAAACTTTTAAACCCTACCCCAGCTTTTTAGTCGGGCATTAGTGAAGCTTATTGTATCATCATAAATACAAGCAGCTGCCATTTATCACTTCCTCACTATCAGCCAAACTCTGTGCTAAGCATCAACTTCTCAAGATTTTATGAAGAAAAAAAAAGGGCACATGTGAGACCCTCCAACCCACTCTACTCTCAAGTCTGAAAACATCCCCTCACATCTTCAAAGCAGCGCACACCCTACACGCTGGACACCCCGCAGTCCTCCCTGCTGACCCACTCAAGCCCAAGGGCCACATCCCTCCCAGCCACAGGACCCCAAGCTCCCTGGCCCAACTACAGCCAGAGCATTCCCCTGATCTTCACGGCCCCTCCCCCTCCGCACACCAATTCCAACCTGCCCCTAACTTGTTCCAAGAACTGTTTCCCTCCAAACTTCTGACTTGCGCAAGGCGAGGGTCCCCTCGCTGCCCTTCTAGACCCAACGTGCCTGTTGTTAATTCCAAAGTTCAAAATTCATGAACACGCACTGCACACGGGCAAAGCCCGGTCCCAGCCCCGCGAGCACGCCCCACACCCGCTCAAGCAGGGCCCCGGGCTCCCCACCCGCGGGCCAGGCCGGGGGCGCGGGGCCTGGCTGCGGACCCACGCGGGGAAAGGGAAGCTCCACCTGGCTCCGCGGGCGCGGCGCGCGCGTCCTGCTCCGGCCTGGACCCCGCG